ACAATCCATGACAAGCACAGAAGTCCAATTACAAAGCACCGCTCGGGTTCAGATCGGGGGGGGCGTTCCTCCCAATCACGCCACTCCAGGTCTCACTGTCATTGCCCATGTGAGCATTGAAGTCCCCCAGCAGAACAAGAGAGTTCCCAGGAGGAGTGCTCTCCATCACCCCTTCCAAGGACTCCAAAAAGGGTGGGTATTCTGAACTACTGTTTGGCACATAAGCGCAAAAAACAGTCAGGACCCGTCCCCCCAGCCGAAGGCGAAGGGAGGTTACCCTCTTGTCCACCGCGGTAAACCCCAACGCACAGGCACCCAGCCAGGGGGCAATAAGTATGCCCACCCCTGCTCGGCGCCTCTCCCCATGAGCAACTCCAGAGTGGAAGAGAGTCCAACCCCCCTCGAGGAGCCCAAGTCGTGCGTCGAGGTGAGCCCGACTATATCTAGTCAGAACCTCTCAACCTCTCCCACCAGCTCAGGCTCCTTCCCCACCAGAGAGGTGACATTCCATGTCCCTAGAGCTAGCTTCTGCAGCCGAGGATCGGACCGCCAAGGTCCCCGCCTTCAGCCACCGCCCAACTCACACTGCACCCGACCCCTATGACCCCTCCTACAGGTGGTGAGCCCACTGGAGGGGGGACCCACGTGCCTTCTTCAGGCTGTGCCCGACCAGGCCCCATGAGTGCAGGCCTGGCCACCAGGCGCTTGCCATCGAGCCCCACCCCCAGGCCTGGCTCAAGGGGAGGGCCCAGTGACCCGCGTACTGGCGAGGGAAAACATGAATCCATGTTGTTTCTCATCATAAGGGGTCTAATGAGCCGCACTTCGTCTGGTCCCTCACCCAGGACCTGTTCGCCTTGGGTGACCCTACCAGGGGCATAAAATCCCTGGGCACCATAACTCCTGGGATCATCAGAACATGCAAACCCCTCCACCATGATAAGGTGTCGGCTCCAGGAGAGGACATGACCTTCAGTCAAATGTAATTTTTCCACTGGGTTAGGAGTACAGCTCCCAGAATCTAGCATTTTTTTCCCATGGATTAAACAGCCTTTATGCCGACTGCAATAATAAGCACTTTCTTTTGGCAGATTGTTCTGGGTAAATTGTCCCCCCCCCCCCACTCCCAACTACCTATAAACAGCATGTGTCCCCACCTCCCCCCCTCCAATTTGGAAATGCTGCACCTACTTTTTCCTAATCCAGAGAGGGGGAGACGATGGAAGAAGGTTATTATACCTGAATAACTGCTTCAGGCCAAGGTCCATTATGATTGCACATTCCAAGTAGGCTGAGATGCATGAAATGGACAGAGAAGGGAATGCACTGTTACAAAGGCGGGGGGACAGAGTAATGGTACTTTTTTGTTCATGCAGCGGAATTTCCTCTGTGGAACCAAGCTGGATTTCAGAAGCTCTTATGGTCCATATGACATTTTTTTATTGTTGAGAAGGAAATTGAAAAGATTCTTGATCTGTGAATTAAATCATCCATCCATCCATCCATCCATTCATCCATCCATCCAGCTTCTACCCACTTTTCTGAGGGGGGGTCTGAGGGGGGGGGGTGACCTTGCAATGGGGGCACTAGGTCAGCAGACACCTGGCAAAGATGCCAGGAGAACTGCAGTTTGATCGAATATGCTATACAGAGAGAATTTCTTTAATTGTTTATTTAAATGGTCATATTGCCTACAAAGAGTCAGTCATGTGTCACTATGGCAGCAGAGCGCAAAGGGGTATATATATGCATTGCTTAACAACACGAGAGAGGCCTTTATTTCCCAAGGCAGATACAGAGAAATTGTTGCTCTTATAGCAATTATATAAATAATAAAATATACTAAAAACAGGCATTTCCCTTGTTTAATTTGTTAGCTGAGATGCCAGACTATGCTCCTCATGTAGCTGTTTTCACCGGCTGCCCATTCCATAAGTTTGCCAGGGACAGAACTTCCCGCCAGGACGTAGGATTGCTGTTATGGCTCCAGCCACGGCATTACACTCTTTTAGTGCTTTTCTTCTCATTGCAGACTTTTCTGAGTCACTTTTAAAATAAGTACCTGCATTACCATTCAGAGCTAAAAGCTCAATTCCGTATTCATCCCAAGTGTTCTGCAGTTAGATTTCATTGCAGATGTTACTTCAGTAGTACATTGGCTTTGTTTACACAGTATGTGCAAGTATTCAGTAAAGAAGTGTCTTGCTATTTATTAGAATGCTTAGAACTGCATTATTATTTACCTAATTCAAATTTATCGACCATAAAGGTAAAAGACATGTTTATCAAACATGTTTCAGTTCATATGAGGTCTCTGCGGCATTCATAAAACGTTCAGTACACCTTCATAATGTATTCATTAAATATTCATAAAACATTCATAAACATCATGTATGTATACCTTAACATCCTAAACATCCCTTAACAACTGTAGTATACATTAATAACAAACATTATATAGTAATAACAAACATTATAATTGTTTAATCAGGGATGCACATAACTGGTACGCAAGTACGCATTCACCTTTAAGAACGATACGCGCGAAAATCTATTTTTCTGTAAAAGCGCAAATGCGTACTTATTTTATGTGCATTTGCGCTGCTATGAAAACAAAATAAAATGTATTTTAATATTTATACGTTAACTCGACTTCATTTGCGGTTAACGGGTTAAAATGCAAGGTATTTTATTGTCAAAGCAGCGCAAATGAACATAAAATAAGTACGCATTTGCGCTTTTACGAATAATCGATTGTCGCACGTATCGTTCTTAAAGGTGAATGCGTACTTGCGTACCAGTTATGTGCATCCCTGTGTATAATCATGTTATGTTTGTTATTAATGTACATATACTTGCATGCTGCTTATGAATGCATTACGAAGGTGCACTGAATGTTCTATGAATGCATAATGAATGCATTATGAAAGTGCACTTAACGTAAAGCATTACCGATAAATTTTATGGATTGATGGCAAGTCAAGGAGTGGGGGCACTAATTTTCTAATTGAAAAAAAAAAAAAATGTGACCTTTACACCTTGTCTGGGCTTTCCCCGGTTCCCTTCTGTTGCTGGTAGTGATGCATGATAGTATTGAAGACGGTTGGCAAGGGTGATATTCTGTTCAAAATAGATCCTGTCCAGATTATGAAATCCCATCTAGGTATGAGCAACCCAGTATGTAAAGAGAAAGGTGTTTAAAACCGCAAGCAAACCTACACTCTAAATATGTGTGTTGGCTTCATAGCTACATTTTGCTTGGCAAAAACTTCTGATTTCCTATGCTGTCTCAAATGCCTTAGTGTCTGAAAGAACTAATAATGCCTTCATGCAAGTATAAGCATATGTTTATAACATTATCTAACTACACAACATTATCTAACTATATAACATTACAAAATATAGTCTACATCAGGGGTGTCAAACTCCAGTCCTGGGGGGTCGGAGCCCTGTGTAGCTTAGTTCTTTCCCTGTTCCACCACAAACTATGTAGCTTATGAGCTCTGTGGTAATTAGCACAAGGAGTTGAATCAGGTGTGTTAAATGAAGGTAAACCCAAAACTGTGCAGGGTTCTGGCCCTCCAGGACTGGAGTTTGACACCCCTGGTCTACATGCTCAACACCTTCTGGTAGACTATGGCAATGGTGGAAAGTTCATGTCTAGAAAGTTTAAATCCAGACCAAGTTTTTATTTCAACCAACCAGTTGCGTTCTCTGTGACTATGACTCTTTATACTTAAGTGGTTGGCTGGAGCAAAATCTTGGGTTGGATTTGTACTTTCTGGACCAGAACTTTCTACCTCTGGACTGTGGTAGCCACCTTTTATACCCTTATGCATCCTGGAACATGTACATTAGCCTCAGTGTAAGGCACTTGTTTCCCAAGGAGACAAAAAGGAGACTTAAATCCTTGAGGCAGACAGTTTCACTTTAGCACATGACCAGCTCATGCAACCCATGCATAAAAGAAGCAAAATGAAAGATGTTTAACTCACAATTGTGAATTCACAGTTCTGTGATACTGGGGGCATGATAAATATACCATTATTAGATACTTCAAAATTATAATTTGAATGGAAATATTATCTTCTAGGTGACTCCGCTGCCTCGCAGTAAGAAGGTTTTGGGTTCAGTCCCTGTCCTCTCTGTGTGGGGTTCGCACGTCCTCCCCGTGTTCGCGTGGGTTTTTGCCGGGGGCTCCGGTTTCCTCCCACGGTCCAAAAGTGTGCAGAATAGGTTGATTGTTGTGTCTAAATTGGCCCTGTAGTTGTGTGAGTGTGAGTTTGCGTGCGCCCTGCAGTGTGTTGGCTCCTGCCCAGGGTTGGTTCCCGCCTGCGCCCATTGTTCCTGGGATAGACTCTGGTCCCCCCCCACAACCCCAGTTGGGATTAAGCAGTTTCAGAAAATGGATGGATGAATGTTATTTTCTCTTATTTTTCCAGTTTTCAACCTATTTTGTACATATTGTTGGCTAATGAAACATAGTTACTGAGATAATCACAATTAATTTCAAGGGACATGTAATGAGACATACTTTACAGATATTGAGCAAAATCAAAGATAAAAATTGAATATATAAATGATCTGTAAATGAATACACATACTGCTGCTTTCAATGTCACTCAAATCCTCTGGCTAGTTAAACCTAAACTGTAAATGCACTTTGTATCGTAGTTGAACTACTAGCCAATGAAAGGGGTGTTTATAACCGCTGCTACTTGTAACACTTTGCATATAATATACAGTATGGATCTTCCCTTTTACCCACAATGCAATAACAGCAAAATGTATGACCAGTTAAAAATGCACGGGCACTGGATTCCTGCATATCTTTTAAGCACCCTTAAAAATGCACAGTGCCTGAAACTGCAAATGAGGAGAAATGAAAATCAGTTTAAGAGTACAGGAAAGGCACGGACACAGAAGACCTTCACCTGAGTCATGATTACGGTGGAAACAAATGGGACGGTCAAATAATTTTACGTGTTTTTGTTTTGCAGGAGCTCTTCACACCAGAATGTAAGTTCAAAGAGTCGGTGTTTGAAAACTACTATGTGATCTACTCGTCCATGTTGTACAGACAGCAGGAATCTGGCAGAGCTTGGTTCCTGGGTCTCAATAAGGAGGGCCAAGCCATGAAAGGAAATCGCGTAAAGAAAACCAAACCAGCTGCTCATTTTCTGCCCAAGCCATTAGAAGGTAAATCTACAGTTTTATATAAGAGCATGGTGGCTCTTCTTTCAATGCATCTCTTTGACTGTCTGTCATCTAATCTCTGATCAGTATAAATGGTACACAATGGAAGAAACAACCGTAATTCATACTGAGGTGCAAAGCCCTTAAATAAGTATTAATAGGAATGATCTCCAGACCCCCTGCAACCCTCAATAGGATATATAGAAAATGGATGGATGGTTGAATGGATGATCAAAATTATTTACATGTAAACACACCAGCAAATACATCTACATGTGTAAATAAAACCTGGAAACATACAACCCCACACACTCGCGATGCTCCTACAGGCTTTGTAGCGTGTCACACGGCTGCATGCAGAATGTATGTGAACATGACAGATTTGCCTATAATCCCACTATTAAGTACCTCTTCCAACTGTAGGATAAATTATGGTTGTTTCTGCGGTGATATGTCATTTATATTGATCCATAATTCACTGGTGCACTTGTAAACTGTGCTCCCGCATAAGTACGCTGTCAAATATTAATGGTTCACCACACTGTTATAGCTGCTGGCTTCCCTCCTCAAGTTTGATGCGTAGCCATTATTTATACATGAAATAATGAGTGAACTGCTGTCGCGACCTGAAATTCTAGAATCCACATTTATTTCAAAGTAAAAACAGCACAGCTATGTACTATGTGGATCTCCAGAGAAACTCTTTATGTCAGTGACAGCGGGTGGCTCCGTGACAAATAATTATCCTTTTGTTCTGACTAGAAAGTGCAGAGCACTTAGTAGTGATGTTAGGCTGTTACGTTATTCATTCTCACTAAAATGATAAGAACATGCAGAAATAGCTAGAGTTAGAGTTAATTCAGTAATAATAGGGAATGTGGATAATGGATACTAACATTTCTGTATAGTTGCATTGCTTAATTTTGCATCATTTGTTGGATCATCACAAGTCATGAAAACTTTTTTGATTATGAGTATGAAATTGCCGTTAATAGTGCAATTAGGCACAATTATATTAACTTACTAAATGATTCGTCTGAAAAGCAGAACATTTTTCTCAGTTGTGTTTTGAATTAAATGTAGTTAGGCTGTTAATAATGATTTAGATAGATTTATTTAAAAGTGCAAGTTAATAAATTGTGTTAGACTATCAGTAATTTATTTTTATGTGTGCATTTGTAACTTTGTCTATTGAGTATTATATACAAAAAACTCAATAAAAAAAGTGAAACACAGATATATACTTTCATTTATAATTTTCACCGGTAAACAAAATGCTGTCTGTAGGCATGAAGAATGCGGCCATGTTCTATATTATTTCCTTGATACTGTAGCTGTGCTGGAGCAACTATTAAATTCTGAAGTGTTGTGAGAGTTTGTGCCAGGTTGCATGTAGTGGTGTTGTGAGTTTAATGAGGTGCTATGACTTGGTTGTAACGTGGTTTTTTTGTCCTCACTTTCCCTGCAGTCGCTATGTACAGGGAGCCGTCGTTGCATGATGTTGGAGAAACCGTCCAGAAAGCAGGAGTGCCTCCCAGTAAAAGCCCAAGTGAGCCTGCGGTGATGAATGGCGGAAAACCAGTCAGCAAGCCGACCAAAACGACATAGCCGGACCTGTGGATCTGACACTCTGGAATGGTTTCCCCCGGCCAGAAGGACTTCCTTGCATTCGTGGGTCAGGTTCAGGCAAACCTCCCAGTTCACCACATGTCTCATCACTCGTGGATCGATCCAGAAGTCCGAGTCCAAGTAACCTGTGAGGAGAGACAATTGGATAGATTCACATTGAATGCCCTACCAGAAATGGAATGCCTTTTCAATATGCTCTGTAACTGTGACAATCCATAATAATGATGTAACTCACAGTCCCAAGTGACAGCTTGCCTGCCGTTTACATGTAGTTTCCCATTTGAGCCCAACTGCAGCAGAATCCATATTATTCAAATATATTTTCTATACCGCAGTACACTAGCTATGATCTGGGTAAAATGCTTTTACAAAAATGGACTGTGATCCTTTATTCCCTTAAACATATTCTCATCCCCCTATCCGCCTCTCAATCTCTTCACCCTACTCTCTCTTTTTTTGCCATTTTCACTAGATATTTGTCATTCATACTCACATACACTATCTCACATGCAAAATCATCATCACCGACACATACTATACCACATAATAAAATCCCATGGCTCATGTTATAAAAGATAACGTGATTCTTATCAGTGCTTCACTGTTGATCTCACTGATTAAGAGAAACTGCGGGCTGGTCAAATTGCTCCTAAGATTGGCGCTAAGGAAGCATTAATATGCCTATGGCATTCAGTACAAAGGGCAGCGATATGTCGGAAGTGCTCCATAAGTGGTATATACATATCACACCCCTATTGCCCTTGCGGAGACGTTAGCCTCGCCCAATAAACAGGAAACTGTATTCTGTTTTCCTTACTCTTCGTTTTAGAGCAAGGGCTCTAGGAATATCTATAGGCCTTGTAGGTCCATTGTAGATCCCAGCCCATTAATCACACGCTGACTTCTCTGAACAATGGGCTATGCTTGTGGCAGCTGAACAGGCCCGGCAGCAGCCATTTACAAAATGTCTACTTTAGTCAACGTGGAGAACGGCTGGATGTAAGTAGATGCCATTAATACTGGCTGCATCCTTATTTTGTTCAGCAAAGCATGGGCAAGGTTTGTGTTGTGTTACAGTACCTTCTTGCAGCAGCAATGCAAGAGAGACCTTATATTACAATGTTTTCACTGTATAAAATTAAAACGAGACCTAATTTTTAATGACTAGCCATTACGATGTATATGAGAGGATTTACCTAGCTCAGCATGCAGAGTCGAGTACTTCTCATATTGGCCTAGTACGTGCCTGTGCAGACCTCTAACCCAGCATGCAAAAACATGTACCCAGTCATTGCTGGGTTAAAGGTGCCTCACCATCCGTCCACACTCAGTAGAATAGTAGCATATTCAATTGACTTCATATTTTCTCCAGTTTGCTTATGATATTAATCTTTCAGTTTCTCAGTTTGAAAGTTTTATACATTAGTAACAAAGATGTCTTACAAGAAAATTACAATATTTAACATTTTTTTCACTGTGACTACAGATTTATTCCAGAATCAGGAGATAATTCTCGACTTTTTGAATAATCTCTGGCAGTTTGAGCAGACTCCATGTTTATTTCTTATTCGCTTTAAAAAAAAAAACGCATTACTGATAGATTTCAACCAGCATGTATTTGTTTCATGGACCAAAGTTTAGAAAAGGAGAGCGAACTGTTTTGTTTCTTCAACCTCATTTGTATTTAGTTCCAAATTAAATTGACACCACACTATAAAATGATACTATTCACCAAATGCAAGTGAAAATCTTCTTTCACCTTTGTTTAGAGACATTATCTGATTATGTATTCTATCGCAGATTTTCTGAATCAATCAGCAGAATTAAAACCAAACTTTTCTTGCTTCAGCGATTTTCATAATAGACATAATGGGCTGAAGCTATGCTGTTAAATTGCAAATATATTGATTCATTTTGATATTTATTACTCTGTAGACCTTGATTTTTAGGAGATACTGAAGCACATTAGCTAGAGCTGAATACCTGTCTGCACTAATGCTGTTATACACTGTAGTAAGCCTCTAAAGAAATTGAGTATAATGTTTTAATTCAGTTTAGGGCCGGTGCCCTTCATCCACATGAAAACCATACTTCTTTAGTCAGTAACCAATAAACTCTACATGCTGGGCTATGTTTGCCCTGCAAACCAGATGACTGGTTAAATGAAGGCTGAATTTATTTTTGTAAATGACTGGTGTGTACGTGTACAACTCGATTTTTTTTCTCCTTTGTTATTTACAGGCTGTATGTGGTGGTGTTTATACCTATGAATGGTTGTCTTTGAACAGTTATTTTCCTAACATGTTGAAATGTTGACATGGAAGGCCGTCATTACCTGCTTTGGTTTCAGCCTTTGGTTTGTTTGTATCATCTGTTGCATGGGAAGAGGATGGCATTGAAGAATTGCATGTTGTAGGCCATGTGTATCAAGAACTGTTGGTATGTACTGCTAACTTTACATACATATATGCAAAGAGTTTGTCTGCACTGTACAGTTTGTGTTTGTTTGTTGTATACAGATACAACATATTGAATAAAATTATTTATATAAATGCGTACTGTAATGTCAGTAACAGATTTAATGCAATACAATGTGCAGTATATTATTGCACGAGTCATTTGAAAGGTATAGGAGAAAGATGTTGACTCATACTATAAAGTTTGGGCCAATGTGGATTCTTCAGACTTCTTTTCTTACTATCAGTCTTCTTTTCAAGGAGAAATTTGTCTATATTGTGCCAGTGTCGCTCACATAACATGAGACGTTTTGCCCTGTTTGTTATAGTCCAACATGGAATTTGATGTATACGTATGTATTTCAGATTCCATCTCTGGCTATTTAGTTAATCCTCTATTGCTCTGCTCCATGTAAAGGTCTTTGGATAAAGTGTTAAATCTTTTCACAGTGACTGGAACCAGAGAAATTTTTGCACTGTTTTATTTAAAAGCATATGCCATTGCAAATATGTCTTTCCAAGTTCTCTTACTTATTTACTTCAAGATGTTGCACTGGTTTCATGCTAATGTTGTGCTGTAGTGCAGTTTTATTATTATTATTATTATTATCATTATCATTATTCACGATGATAATAATAATACTAATTATTATTATTAATAATGGAAAATATAGTATACTCCATCTGATTTTAATACACACAATGCATTTTTTATAAAATAATTTGATTATACATGACAGCTGGTCAAAATATACAATGGAAAAGCATTAATATTCAGCACAGAGTAACATCACAACAAAATATTATTCATGATAATAAAACATTTTTGGTTTATCTTACATTGTTTGGGTTCTGTCCATGTACTTACAGCTTAAACTGTGTGGCTTTACAGAATATGTAAGCATTTCTAGATAAATAATGTTCGTACATATAGTTGTACTGGAAACATAAATTGTTTAAATTTCATGTGTCTACACAGAAAAAAACTGCTCTTGCTTCCACAATTGTTTACTTGCATACAACAATATAGTTTTAATAAAGATAATTTGTAACCATTAACATGAATGCTGTTATACAGGTGATATGCAGAAATGTGAATGAAGAATTACATCCCAGATCTGAGTGTTTCTCTTTGTTCTTTTCAATGGTTTTCATTACTATCATTCATTATGGTTTTTCATCAGCCTCTTGGCAACATCACGATCTTTTTCAGTTTCCTTGTCCCGTTAAAGTATTAGTACTCTGATCCCACCCAAATTTCGCACGCGTTTCCAGTCCATCCTTCCCAGCATTCACAGTTGCCACAGCTACACCAGCCATTACCTGCCATAAAAAGTGTGAGAAAAAAAAACACAGCAGAATGCATCACTCCATAGTGCCGGTGTTTTAGCGAGCTTCACTTCTCATGTAGCTAAGAGGTAGCTAATACCCATAGATACCACTTCAGCAGTAGCTGTTCTTTTCTTCATGAAATTCTGGAAGGTTTTGGGGATGCTAGTTACTGTGCGGGCGAGTGTCATTACTTTTAAGGATAAAAACATTTACCCTCCATATTCCAGACCATAATACAAAATGTCTGTCAACATAATACTCTTGCCAAGGTAACAAAACTATTTACCACACTATTTAAATACAATATGCTGAGAATAATGCGGCAGGACAACTACTGTACACTCTGTGTCTGTGGGTGGAATCAGCTCCAGTGACTATGTTGTATTGATGAGAGTGCTGTAGATAATCTGCGTTAATTTGGGCTTTTCTGCAGCGATGGAGGACGCTTGGAAGTACGCTGCTTGTCTGGTAATCAGTCTGTACTCTGCCTACGAGCCTTGGCACGATGTAGATGTTTGTGGAAATGCATTTCTGGAGCAGTGACACTAAACGAATTGGTCGGTAGTGGCACTCCAGATACAGATAAGTGCTGCAATTCGCTTTGCAGGACAATGTTAAGTAGACGACGGGCACCTCTAAATTAGTAATTGTTTACATAATCGAACAGAGGAAAAACCTATTTAAATGGTGACATACCACCATTTCACAAGGAGGCCTGTTTGGCTAATTGCTACATACAGTGAATGAACGCAGCAAATATAAATTTGTGTTTATAATGTAAGTATTATTACACGTGAGATCTCTGCGTAATGTCGATATAATAACCCACAATTAAGTTAAATGCCTTGTGCCATTATGAGCTCTATTTTCTCTGTGCAAAGAAGCATCTTCTTTACATTAACTGCCACTGTTTCATAATGCCTTCCTGTTTTTGGCAAAATTCTGTCCACTTCATTATAATAGATTTTGCTTCAGGGATTGGTCAGTGGCTATGAATCGTTCTGCAATTGGTGCCTTTTCAAGAACTTTCTTGTGGCTTTGTTTGGAATGTTCCTTGACCGTAGCAATTTAGATTTTGCTTAGAGATCCACTGGCTGACTATGGAATCTACAGTACCACAGACAAGTGAATTTATTCTAAATTAATTCTATTTTTAATAGCTACTGTGCTTGACAGAAGCTATATTTCACAGACGTATGTATGAAGATGATCTACAACTAAATATACATATATACATGCGTGTATATGTCCATGACATTTTGCAGGGTAGAAAACGATCATACTTACAAGACCAACCCTTAGACTATACAGTAAGTAGCATAATTACGAAAATGTTGTTTTGTACAATTGCAATTGAAATAAAAACATATATCCATCAGCATGATCAATATAAAATGCTGGTCCAAAAAGTATAATGCACTAGGGGCACTCATAATATAATAATATATAATATGTAAAATAATGTAATGACATTAATAACCTTGACCAGAAAAAAATATATAAGCCTGTTGCTACAACGTCAAGTGCAATTTGACTCCAACAAAACCAAAAGTAAGGCTGAGGTAATAGACGTGGGTAGATTTTGTTGCTGAAAGAAGAGGTTGCCTTGGCATCAGGGTGCCCAGGTCACTGGGCATAATTGGCACGCAGTCGTCTCCCAGGCTACCAGCCACCTTGTTGGGACGGTCACCTCCCACTCCTTCCCACACACGGACGTCACTTTTAATTAGTTCAGCTCCACATGTCGACTTGTTGTTCTTAACGTGAATATCTGTCATCTCCGATATTCAAGCAGAACAAATTTAAGAGTAATTACTATAACCTTCCTTGCCAAAGTACATAATAAGTCGATCTGTAGCACTCTACCACACGTAGGTTTTTTTGTGTATCAAACATAATTATACCCTTACTAGGGTGTTTCTTGTGATGAATATATGGATTTCAGTACAAGCCAATAAAACACATTATTGCATTTAGCCAATAAATACAGATTGTTTAATGAAATTTGCATTTTGTTATAATGTGAAGATATGGAACTTCACTGGATCTATAAACCAGCATTTATAATTAGTAATTAACTATACCAAACAATAGAATTTTGTTTTCAGACATTTATTATTTTTCATGCACGTTGGTAGAGATTAATTTTATGAAGAATATTGAAAAAATGTCCCGCATGGCCCAAAAATGTCAAGCTGGTAATTAAACCATTTAATCTTGCATTTATTTTCAGAAACTTGCATGACTTCATATGTAATCGAATAGTTACTGCAGTATTACTGCTGAGTACTAAAGCAAAGGTTCTTCTGGGATTTCAACTGGCAGCAGTTCTGTTACAAATCTTGTTTTTTTCCTTAAAGGATCTGCAGTATGTTATAAAGTAGACACGTCTATAAGATGCAACACTTTCCACTGTATTATTTATAAGCCAGTCAATCATATACCCAGCATAATACAAATGACTGAAGCTTGCCCAGATGAGTGAAAATGGATCCAAGGTCTCTTCCACTCAGTGTGGATGGGTTAAAATTTTATAATGCACATTTTATAACTTGGCACTTCTAAAATGTACACTAAATAAAGAATAAAACAATTTCGGTTTTTGGCAAAAGAGCCTAATCGTAGTTTAAATTTTTAACTAATTGTGCTCTTTTGTTTAAAACAGATTTCTGAGCCTTTTCACAGTGTGTTACAGTACCTGTGCAGATGAGACCATCATGTTTGTCGCAGTCTCTGTCATCACATTCGCAGAACTCTCCGGACACATACCAGTCCTGGGGCGAGCATATACACTTTCCACAGTGGCAGGAACCTAAGAAGAGATTAACTTTCTTTTCAGCAGAAGTGGACATTTCAGGTCCAGAAAGTAAAAATCCAGACCAGGATTTTGTTTCACCCAACCAGTTATGTTTAACTGGTTGGTTGAAACAAAATCTTGATCTGGATTTTTACCTTCTGCACTTGAAATGTCCAGCTCTGTTTTTCAGTCACAAATAATATGTGTCATCCATCCATCCATTCATCTATTCATCCACTCAGTTTATCTTGATCAGGGTCACATAATAACAATGTTGTCCATGCTCTACACCTGCTTGTCTTATACAGGGTTGTAGAGGTCTGTAGCCTATCCTGGAAGCTACAGGGGAACCTGGAGAACATGCAAACTCCTCACATGTAGAGTTTGGGCGGAAACGAGAACCCTGGTCCCAGTGGTATGAGGCAACAGTGCTAACCAGGCCTTCCCCAATAATAATAATGTGTAACTAAAATTAAATAGCATTAGGGGAGTGGGTCCATAACCATGGACGAATGTTCCAATCCTGCCTCTGGTTCTTTGCCTGTGCAGAGATTGCATGTTCTTTGTGCGCGTGTGTGTGTGTGGGGGCATTTTCTTTATGTAATCTGATGTCCTGCCACAGTCCAAAAACATGTGATTAGGCGACTTGGTGACCCTAAATAGCCCATAGCATGATGGAGTGGCATATTGACCAGGGTGTTAGCCCATAGCATGATGGAGTGGCATATTGGCCAGGGTGTTAGCCCATAGCATGATGGAGTGGCATATTGACCAGGGTGTTAGCCCATAGCATGATGGAGTGGCATATTGACCAGGGTGTTCCTCGTCTTGCTGCCTGTGCTTCCTGGGACGCGTTGCTATGAGTCTGGAGCCAAACAAGGGCCATCAAATTTTTTTATAGGTCCATATGCACACAGGTGACTTGTTAAATGTTTGCACCTTCTTAGTATGTGCAACACTGAAAGAAAGCAGGAATCCAGTGTGAAAACTCCATAGGCAGGGTAACCAATTCAGGGTGAATTGTAAGTACCGTGAAGATAATTGCACAGCTTATTTAACATATGGGGCAAGATTATCCCAGGAAAACACACTGATGTCTATGGTAAATGTCATAGTCTAATGGAGGAATATATTAGTCTGATAAAGATCCAAATGTTTTGCCAGTAATGTGCCTTCAGAATCTATAAATAGCAGTAATGCAAAATATCTGAGGCATCGTATGATGACATCCCATCTAGGGTGTGCCTTGTGGTTCCTGGGAAAGGTGCCAGGCTCATCACAACCTGGAACTTCTTTCTTCGATGGATAGATAGAAATGAGAGTGATACATAAGAGTATTAAGGACAGAAGGGTATCAGTTATCAAAGAATGTACAAACAAAAACTAGTGACCAAAACTGTGGAAACACTTCCGGTTTTTAGAGATTGCCGAACTTTATTCAACTGTTGCTCCAGTTACTTATTTAATCACTCAACTTATGATATTTGTAACATTCTTTGAGTGTTTAAAAACATTACTGCCAATATTTGTGTAGCGATTTTTAAAGCATAATGCCAAAAATGCTGTTTCCACAATTTTAGTCACTAATGTATACACAAATGACACAAAAACATATTCCATTATTGCACTCATGTACTGAATTCAAAAATATCACATTATGTAATACAACTAAAGAAACACATTCACCCATTTTTATTACTACTTATCCTG